GCTTGAACCGATACACAGTCCTAACACTATTCACCATTAATAAGAAATGGTGGAACCACCACTCACATATCACACCAACCAATCACAATACACTAAAGTTTATAAAAGCACTCAGACAAACTTCGAGCAGGGAGTCAGCACAAAACATCACGATCAATCGTTTCAAATCGAGAATTGACGCACAACACATAGGCAAATCGATCAGTTAAACTCATAACCATGTCTGTTGGTTAGGTTAGAGGAGGCCGCATCTCTTCAGCACTGTCGCATGAGAGTAGCGGGCCTTGTAACGCCATGAAATTTCGAATGCGTGAGTTGTAGTATTCGGGAAAAAAACAGAATAGATATAATGTTTACAGAAGTATGTAAAATTATTTCGCGTTATATTAAAAGTGAATGTTTCCCTAAACTTTAAAAAAACGAAAGGTTCGAAACATTTGATTTCTAGAATGTTGCAAATTTACGAAACAGTTTTGGGGGATTACACGCGATGAAAGTGGGAAAAATGAAATCTACATTTTCTGGATGCTTGCATTATAACACTACAAAATTTCTGTGAGTCGCATTGTTTCGAACTAGCCGATTTTAATTATGCGTCTATACTGTACGTTGACCTAGGTATTACTGGAAAAGAATATGACAATTGTTGTATATTTGAAAGAGGTGAACTTTACAAAAACGTAACACGTAATGATATGCGTATTCCGAAGATACATTACTTCCGGGAACAAATTCGCCAAGCAAGCCATGTGCTTACTGATGCTGGAATGACACTCACCGTTGTGCAACAACTCCTTTAACGTAATGACATTTGTTATGAATGTGCAGATAATACTACTTACCCATATCCGTTTCGATACACTCCTATTTGCACTCTCTCTGGAACTCTGACTCTAACTCCCCTTCTCGTGTCACTCGACATCCCTTCTTATACCTGTTCATTCTATGCATTACCAATTGCTCAAAAGTTCTAGAAGAGCTTCCCAGAATAGTTCGTTCTTCGCGCATTATTCACAGTCGCCGCACCCTTCCGATCACACATCAATCGCGCCGGTAATCATTGATTTTGCTACTGCGCCATTTGCTCACCTGCCACTCGTTACGACAAGCGTTTAGTCTATTCGCCCGTCATACGTACACGATACAGCCTTGGCTATATTTTACTGTGTAATGAGACAATATAGCAGTGACATAGCAATACAGAAAGGACATCCCTCGAATTAACACAGACCTGGACATTCACATACAAGGAACATGTGGCGCGCAGAAAATCGGGTTAAGAGGATTTATGGAACGTGTTATTACGTAGATGCTTTTGGGAAATCCGTCTTTCATTTTAAGCTAAATTCAAGGATCTTATGACGGCACGTATTACTACCCTTCGAACTTAGTCAGTCCGGGCATCAACAGCCCATACGAATACCATAAATGCTCGCGGGATTCTTCGAATGGACCAAGGGACCGCAGGTGACCTTAGCCGCGCCGCGGATAGCAGGCCCATGATAAAATCTCCATACGTCACCAAATTTCCGCAACCTCTCTCTCTT